TTTCTTTCAAAAAAAGAAAGAATAAAAATGTACTGACCCCAAACTTTTGAACTAAGATTTATATTGTTAGAAAATATTTCTATTTTAAATAAATGCTGTTCTTTTTAACTTTATTCATCAAAGAATCCTGGAAAAAGTATCGCAGGTTTCAAAAAATATTAAACACTGATAATAAATCAGCATATTAGAATGATTTCTGAAGATCATGTGACACTGAAGACTGGAGTAATGATGCTGAAAATACAGCTGCGCATCACAGAAATAAATTACATTTTAACAGATATTCACATAGAAAACACTTATTTTAAATTGTAATAATATTTCACAATTTTTACTGTATTTCTGATTAAATAAATGCAGCTTAGGTGAGCAGAAGAGACTTCTTTAAAACACATTACAAATCTTACTGATCCCAAACTTTTGAACAGCAGTATATATATATATACACACACGTGTTTAATGGTTTACGTTTTAGTTAATGATAGTAGCCCTTACTTTGGATGGAAAGATTTTTATTTCAGTTAAACCTTTATTTATTTTAAGTAAGGAAAGATGTTTTATGGTTTATTATAAAGCGGAGAGTTCCGGTGCTTGCTTCTGATTGGCTGAGTAACAACACCTTTGTTTACGTTTGTCTGTTGCTCGGCAACCACTTTGTAGCAACCATAACTGATTCTGAGGAGCTACATTGTTTGGTGGAAGAATACTGTTTTTATTAATATCATTACACTTTATTTGCTCTGTTACCTTACTACGTATATGGAATAACCGTTTTATAAAAGCAATAAGCCCCGTGAAGCCGTGGTTTACAGTGAATTTATAACAGCTAAGGGGCGTTGTAGGCACGCCCCAGCTGTTATAAATTCACTGTAAACCACGGCTTCTTTATTGCTTTATTAACAAATGTGTCAAACAGGTCGTAATGCAGGAATGCAAAATACAATTACAGGACAGTTACAATATGCAGAAATCTGACTTCGAGGCATGATAAAAGCGTTTGGAGCGGCGTTCATCATCTCTGTCCGCTGTGCAGACGCACGTGTCGGAGACAGTTGTCCTGTCTGGAGAAGGTTTTCCCGCACAGCTGACAGCAGAAGGGTTTCTCGCCTGTGTGCACTCGTCTGTGCGTGATCAGACGCGTCCGCTGCGTGAAGCCCTTCCCGCACTCCTCGCAGCGGAACGGTTTGGGCCGCGGATGTGTTTTGGCCAGACCTGAGCTCGAATGAGGATCCGACCCGCACTCAGAAGCGCCGAAGCTCTCGCTCTGAGAGAATGAGAACAGACCGGATGCAGACTGAGCCGTCGGGTCCTGCGTCGTCGCATACGGATCTGGAAAAGTCTGGGAATGCCGCTCCGACTCTATCAGACGGACCTCCGGATCGTCAAGCGCCTTCGAACTCCACGGATGAGAGTTTCCATCGTCGCGGCGGTTCTGGCTCTTCTCCACCTGCTCGATCTTCATCTCAAACTCCAGGCCGCTGAGCTCCTCTTCCTCTTCCTCTGCTGAGCATGTGACGGGATCGTCTCGCTTCAGCTCCAGCGTGTGGGAATAACGAGGCTTCTCCTGACTGAGACCGCCAGGCTGAGGTTCCCGCGAGTGAGCCGATACTCCTGAAGAAGAAGAGAATAAGAGGATTTACTCAATAGTTCCAGCTCTAAAATCTATGTCAGTATCAGCTGAACTGCATTTTAAGACGTCAAGATGCAACAAATCGTTAGGTTAAAGAACTGTATTACTAAACATTTGATTATCATCACTATGATTTTTGGAACACTGATGACTTTTAATATATCTACATAAAAAATTAAAATAAGAAAATACACACACACATATAAATATATACATATATGTGTGTGTGTATGTATATATAGACTCGATAGATCAATAGATATAGATAGATAGATGCAAAAGTATTGTTTTTATTTTTTTTATGTAAATTATATATTAAAAATTATACAATCAACTTGAATAAAACATACATTTTTATACGCGTGTAACAAAATCTATAAATATATGTAAAATATTTACGGGAATTATATATCTATATATATATATACTTTAAATATATATTTGTGAACATGTATTTTTTAATTGTACATATTTTGCATATATATATATATATATATATACACACACATATATATATATATATATA